TGTCTGAAACAAACTTTTTTTTTTTGTTGAGCAGGTTCTGTTATCCAACATCACCATGGTGAAAGAATCTGGGCCCACTTTTGTCCAGAAGCCGATCCTCGACCAGTCGGATGATGGCCGGGTCCTTAAGTTCTCCTGCCGCATCGCTGGCGAGCCTCGGCCCAGCTTCAAGTGGTTCCTGAATGACCGAGAGCTGCGGGATGGCGGCCGCTACTTCATGACCACCAAGCCCGAGGCCCAGGGCTACCTGGTGGCCCTGGAGATTGAGGACGTGTCGGGCGAGGATGCAGGGAACTACAAGATTGTAGCCGAGAACAAGTCAGGCAGCACCAGTGCCACTATCAACCTGAAGTTTGGGGGTGAGTTTGTTTTTAGAGTTATGCCTTTATTTAGGTTTGGATGGAACCTGATACTTCAGTGAGTTTCAGTGAGTTTCCGAGGGAGCTGTTTTTTTTTTTGCTGAAAACCTAAGAAGTACAACTTGATAATACAATTTCTTGATTACTGTAGCCTGTGGTTCATCTCATAACAGACCCATCTCTTCCAGTTCATGCATCACTGGAGACAAAGTATGTTAAAGAATGGGTAGAAATGGAACCAAACACCCCAACAATTTGGTCAGATACATGTATGCAGGAGTGTGGTTGCTTACTTTTTTTTTAAATGTTTGACTCAAATTTTTAAAAATATTTCTGTAGAGGTTTAATTCTTTGGGGTTTACTCCTTGTTTTGTACTGAATAAACCTGAAATTTAGTTGCATCTTGAGTTGATTATTTCCTGAAAATTACATTTATCGTTGACATGTTTTGGTAAAAGAATTTTGTTGCTTATTTTGAACAGAAGAGGAGGAAGGTGAAGGGAAGCCAGGGTAAGTTGTCATTTGTACAACGGAAGTAAATATTTAAAGTTCTAAAAACTTTCAAAAGGTCTATTAAATCTTAGGCATTTGACTCTGGAGAATTTGCAACGATTAGCTGCTTGGAATGTGCAACATTCAGTGGAGAAAAATAAAAAGACAAACAAAATCTCAATGAAACAAAAGCCGTCTTTGTATTAAAATGAATGTGGCAGGTCAGAGGTTTTTTGGACATAACATTTATTCCTTTGTTGGTCAGTGGTTCAGTGGATGCTGATAGCATAGTCCCAACTTTGTTCCAGGCTTCCTGTATGGAAAGTTAACAAAAATCTGAACAAAAACAAAAGCTGTTTAGGTAGGACTGCCAAAGCTGCACACAAAACATTGTGGCAGTAAACTCCTGTTATTATTTCCATGCTACGTCCAACAAGATTCTATGTTATTTTACTGAACCACTGAAGATTAGTGGCTGGAGGAATGCTGAGGGTGCAGCCCTGAACCCTCTTTTACTAGATGTCCTCTAGATAGGAATACTAGAAAAAGGAAAACAAAAATCATAACAAAAACAAAAACTGTTCATACAGAATAGTGCAGGAATGAGTGCCTGTTCCTTCTTTAAAGGCTGAAGGCATGCCAAGGGTAAAACCTTAACTTCCACCCTCTTTTACTAGATTTTCTGAAAAATAAAAAAAAGGAAAAAAATCGTAATAAAAACAACAGCTGTTTGCCAAAATGAATGCATTAGTCAGCACCTGCTATTATTTTCTTAATGGCTGAAGGGATGCCGAGGGCATTGCTCCCAACTTCACCATGAAGCCCAGGATGCGGCAGTCGGAGGACGGCGTGAAGCTGACCATCGAGTGTGAGCTGATGGCCGACCCGGAGCCCGAGGTGACCTGGTACCGGGGCAACAGCGTGCTACGGGATGGCGGCCGGTTCCGGCTGACCTTCAGCCCCGACGCTGAGTACTACTTCCTGGCGCTGGAGATTACGGATGTCACTGAGAAGGATGGCGGGGAGTATAAGATTGTGGCCAGCAACAAGCTGGGCACCGCCACGAACACCATCAAGCTCAACTTCCAGAGTGAGTCGAGGGCCTGATTTTCCCTTAGTCTTGACTTTGTCTCAGGTTTGGCTTCATGTTTACAAACAAATGAGAACATTCTAAACCTCGGGCATACATTAAGCTTGGGCCCCCCCCCCCAAAAAAATGTGGCCCAACCTAACAAATTGAGTCACAAGTCTCCAGAGCCAGTTTTGAGTGAAAAGCCTTCAGGAAAGTCTGGCACCTACCAATCAATGGGAGCTCTCAACATTTTTCACTCATTGTCTATATTTGTCTATTATGAGGATGCTGAACTAGGTGATAGATCAGAACAATAGTGTGTTCTGTCTTGTGCATGCTTTAATGCACAGATTGATGGCCATAACCACTTCATGCCGGGGCATTTTTCAATGTTGAGGATGCTGGGCCGGCATGACTGTCATTTTTTTCAGTTGTCAAAATTCTTCAAAAATTCATCATTTCATTTAACGGTCGTTTATAGCCGCACAAAGTAATCTTTAGGTACTACTCTAAGTTGACAGGTGACCTTCATTGACGCCCAAGTATTTCAGCCAGGCCTGCAGCCTTGTAAACAGAGCCCAGATTGTGCGGTGTTGTATAACTGTCTTTTGTTCACGAACCTGGCTCAGTGCACTGCTGACCTCTTTTCAATGTGTGGCTCATCACTGTGGTGGTGGAGCGCTTTTGTCCCCGGTGGTAATCCACTCGCTCTCAATGCCCAAACCCTGGTATATGGTTTCAAAAGAAGGCTGGNGGTCTGAAACAAACTCTTTTTTTTTTTTGAGCAGGTTCTGTTATCCAACGTCACCATGGTGAAAGAATCTGGGCCCACTTTTGTCCAGAAGCCGATCCTCGACCAGTCAGATGATGGCCGGGTCCTTAAGTTCTCCTGCCGCATCGCTGGCGAGCCTCGGCCCAGCTTCAAGTGGTTCCTGAACGACCGAGAGCTGCGGGATGGCGGCCGCTACTTCATGACCACCAAGCCCGAAGCCCAGGGCTACCTAGTGGCCCTGGAGATTGAGGACGTGTCGGGCGAGGATGCAGGGAACTACAAGATTGTAGCCGAGAACAAGTCAGGCAGCACCAGTGCCACTATCAACCTGAAGTTTGGGGGTGAGTTTGTTTTTACAGTTATGCCTTTGTACAGGTTTGGATGGAACCTGATACTTCAGTGAGTTTAAGTGAATATCCGAGGGAGCTGTTTTGTTTTTTTGCTGAAAACCTAAGAAGTACAACTTGATAATACAATTTCTTGATTACTGTAGCCTGTGGTTCGTCTCATAAGAGACCCATCTCTTCCAGTTCATGCATCACTGGAGACAAAGTATGTTAAAGAATGGGTAGAAATGGAACCAAACACCCCAACAATTTGGTCAGATACATAAATCTTAAAATGTTGGACTCCAATTTTTAAAAATATTTCTGCAGAGGTTTAATTCTTTGGGGTTTACTCCTTGTTTTGTAATGAATAAACCTGAAATTTAGTTGCATCTTGAGTTGATTATTTCCTGAAAATTACATTTATCGTTGACATGTTTTGGTAAAAGAATTTTGTTGCTTGTTTTGAACAGAAGAGGAGGAAGGTGAAGGGAAGCCAGGGTAAGTTGTCATTTGTACAACGGTAGTAAAAACTTTCAAAAGGTCTATTAAATCTTAGGCATTTGACTCTGGAGAATTTGCAATGATTAGCTGCTTGGAATGTGCAACGTTCAGTGGAAAAAATAAGAAGACAAACAGAATCTCAATGAAACAAAAGCTGTCTTTTATTAAAACGATTTTGGCTGGTCAGAGGTTTTTGGACATAACATTTATTCCTTTGTTGGTCAGTGGTTCAGTGGATGCTGATAGTATAGTCCCAACTTTGCTCCAGACTTCCTGTATGGAAAGTTAACAAAAATCTGAACAAAAACAAAAGCTGTTTAGGTAGGACTGCCAAAGCTGCACACAAAACATTGTGGCAGTAAACTCCTGTTATTATTTCCATGCTACGTCCAACAAGATTCTATGTGATTTTACTGAACCACCGAAGATTAGTGGCTGGAGGAATGCTGAGGGTGTAGCCCTGAACCCTCTTTTACTAGATGTCCTGTAGATAGGAAAACTAGAAAAAGGAAAACAAAAATCATAACAAAAACAAAACCTGTTTATACAGAATAGTGCAGGAATGAGTGCCTGTTGTTCCTTCTTTAGAGGCTGAAGGCTTGCCAAGGGTAAAACCTTAACTTCCACCCTCTTTTACTAGATTTTCTGAAAAATAAAAAAAAGGAAAAAAATCATAATAAAAACAAAAGCTGTTTTCAAAAACAAATGCAGTAGTCAACAGCTGCTATTATTTTCTTAATGGCTGAAGGGATGCCGAGGGCATTGCTCCCAACTTCACCATGAAGCCCAGGATGCGGCAGTCGGAGGACGGCGTGAAGCTGACCATCGAGTGTGAGCTGATGGCCGACCCGGAGCCCGAGGTGACCTGGTACCGGGGCAACAGCGTGCTACGGGATGGCGGCCGGTTCCGGCTGACCTTCAGCCCCGACGCCGAGTACTACTTCCTGGCGCTGGAGATCACGGATGTCACTGAGAAAGATGGCGGGGAGTATAAGATTGTGGCCAGCAACAAGCTGGGCACCGCCACGAACACCATCAAGCTCAACTTCCAGAGTGAGTCGAGGGCCTGGTTTTCCCTTAGTCTTGACTTTGTCTCAGGTTTGGCTTCATGTTTACAAATAAATGAGAACATTCTAAACCTTGGGCACACATTAAGCTTGGGCCCCCCCAAAAATGTGGCCCAACCTAACAAATTGAGTCACAAGTCTCCAGAGCCAGTTTTGAGTGAGAAGCCTTCAGGAAAGTCTGGCACCTGCCAAGGTGGTTAAGACTTACATTTGGGGATCCAGTCACAAATGACCTGATGTTTAGAGCTTATCATTGGGTCAGAAGTAGATCTGACTACTAAGCATGTGTTGTGGTCTCAATATAATCACATCACTCCTACATGCTCTCCTTCACTCAGGAGGTATAAAAGGGTAACTGTAGGGGCAGATATTATCATTTTGTTTGATTGGTCATTTGTATCTGAAAAGCTGAGATGGTTTTTAGGAAATGCTCAAGGGCCTATGAGTAGAGATAATGATGTGGTACTTTGAACACTAGTACTGCTGGATATTTTGGCTTCATCACTTATGGATTATATGTTATTATGATGAGGTTTGTCTTACGTCAGAACTCAGAATCAGTTCTAAACTTTCACTGTTCGTATAGGGAGCAGTAGTTGACAAAGGAAATAATGATGGATTCAGAGTTATGTGTATCAGACAATGGCTTATGCCTTCTATTTTTATTCCAATGTAGCCGGTGCCCCGTCATTCACCATGCAGCCCAAGATCGAGCAGTCTTCGGATGGCCGCAACCTGACCTTCCAGTGTGAGCTGACGGCTGACCCCCGACCCACGCTGACCTGGTACAAGGACGACGTGCCGCTGGCCACCAGTGGGCGCATCAAGATGAACGTGGAGCAGGACGACAACATCTTCTTCCTCACGCTCGGCATCACCGACGTGTCGGCCAAGGATGCCGGCAAGTACAAGATCGTGGCACAGAACGAACACGGTGATGCTAAGTCCACCATCGACTTGAACTTTGAGGGTGGGGCAGAGGAACCACCTAAGCCACCGGTGTAAGTCAACATTTTAGTCCTCCTTTCAAAACTCCTAGAAATGTGGCATAATAGCCTTTGTGACTAAATCGCATGTATGACTATGAGTCTTAAGCCACATCTAAAGTACTTTGCTGTGACTGGAACTAATGCATGTACCTATGAAAGCAACCAGGTAGTAACCACATCCATTTCCTATTGACTTGGTTCTTGTTTCTAGCTGTAGCAAGGTGACTTGAACCATAGAGGAAGGACACAGAAGGAGTTTGCAACTCTGGCACTTCAAAGTGTTGGCAAATGATGGTTGCCGCCGAGTCAGACGAATAATAGAAAACATTCCAAAAATGCCTGATTACTGCCTGCATCTAAGCCGGACACGCGGGGCCAGTAATATCCTAGCAACAGTTGTAGTGTTTTGCTTGCAATTAAGTACAAATTATTGCTGTGACCAGGAAATAGAGAGAGAGAAATTCTTGATATTAGACCTACTTTTGCCATCGTAAATAAACTTTAAAAATTTTGATACACTGTTCCATTATCCATGCAAAGTTTGTAATTTTATTCTCCTCCCTCCAATACATCAGTGTTCAAAGACTTGGTATGAATTTGGCTAAGACTGGCCAACAATATGTTGACTTTTACTGGAAAGCTAAGTTCATAAGTAACAAAATGCGCTATTTCATCACAGGGGGTGGTCGTGAAATCTCATAAAAAATGCGCCTCTGTGCAAATTCCATTGTAAAAAATGATTCAAACAAAACACAAAATCTTGTAAACAGCCGGGCTGTTTATTCCCAAAATAACTCCAGAAGAAAGTGCTCATTAAGGGCAATGACTGCACATATAGATTTAGGGCACACAGCATAATGCAAGCAACTGTGCAAGCATTAAATTTTATGTTGTCGTGAGATCATACTGAGCACCAACAAATACATGAATATTCAATTTCCTATACCTCAGTGCACAAAGTTTTAAGGATGCAGGTTACCACGACAAATTGTGGTGGTGATCATAGGGTACACAGGGGTTACGTGGCTGTGAAACAGATGGTGCATAGCAAGCGTTCATTGCGCTCTGGCTGTGAGCATACCAGGCATGCCAGAAAGTGGTAATTGGCCAGATGTTACAGCCCGGGCTGTTCAAACTCCTTCTGTGTCCTTCTATGCTTGAACACAGCTTATAGTACATTTTCCCTGGAATGTTAATGAAAATTTGCACCATTGTAAACCTCAGTGTTTCAGGTTGAATCGTACGTATTGGTGGACAAAAACATGATCAAATGCACATTTATTTTTCCTTTATATACATGTACCATAGGACGATACCGTCAAACTTTACATTTCTTTTATGACTTCATTTGTAATACTAGATTTCCATTGAAGACAGATCTGTTCAAAAACCTTTGACCAAAAAGTAGTCTTTGCAGTCAAATTGATATCAGAAGTCAGGATGAGGTATGCTGTGCAGTTTTGCAAGTGACTTGATATTTTTAACCATTTCACGTGGGATGATGTGTAAACATAGGTATTTCCTGTGTTGGAAATGGAGGGCATTCAAACATGCTCTGACTTGTTTTGTATTTAGTGCTGCATAATCTCTTTACTGGTCCCCTCAACTGAGTGATGCCCAAATTATTGCTTGGAGGTTTAGTGTAGAGCCCTCAAGTGGTCATGGGCCAAGGCTGGGCTTTGTATCACATGTAGCTATGCAACGTTGTTTCAAAGTATTTAAAACGCAACAATGCATTTAAGAACTGTTGCACAAATCTTGAACAAATAATCACCAAGGGTCAGCATATGTAAAGTCCAACTTTGTAAATGTGACTGTCTTTATGGTACCTGGTACCTGGAAAAAGTTGGTATTTTCGGCCAAAGATAATCCTGCGCCCAGGACAAGTGTGACATTGAATAACACCATTTGCAAGTTGCTCAATTGAGCAATGTTTGTTTTACAAACAGGAAAGGCACCCCTCCCTCATTTGTGGGCAATCCGGCTATGCGGCAGTCGGACGATGGCTCCTCAGTCTACTTCGACTGCCAGCTGACGGGTGACCCAAAACCCGAGATCATCTGGACGCTGGGTAACAAGCGCATCCCGACAGGCGGCAAATACAACATCAAGCTGGAGCCCAAGGGGATGAAGCAGTATATGCTGGTACTGAGCATGGACAACATCAGCCCCAAGGACGGCGGGACCTATTTGGTGTTTGCACGCAACGATGCCGGGGAAGCCAGAACCACCATCAACCTCAACTTTGACGGTGAGTGCCGGTACCTACACAGACTTCCTGAGCTACCATTTTTGAACATGCTTACTCCTTAAAAGATCCCTTGCTGCTCCATTTTGCCTTGAAATTAATCCGTAGCGGATTATAAAACTAATCCTGGAAGGTTTGATCACATGGTTTTACTGACCTGACCCCCTACCATTAACAGTAGGCTGGTCAATGGGATTCATAAAGTGGAAGCATTTTCACTACATTTATAAATTATTTATGTAACTACGGATGTGCACGCATATTATCAGCATGTTCCAAAGAACGGAAAAACCCAGAAGTGGGCACCAGTTTCATGGAAGACACATAGAAATTTGCTTAGTATAATAAACATTTGCTCAGCAAAACAGGTTACCAGCCAAACTGGGATGTTATGTAACAGTATATTGCGTGTGACTGGTACAGCTGAGGTTCGTTTAGCACATGCATTTGCCAAGCAAACTTGCTCAGTGGCTGTTTGAAATTCTGTCTACATCATGACCCCAGTATCCCTTATTTGATAAAGAGGTCTGTAATGAACAAAACAAAATTATGAACTGAGACTGTCACTCACGTCTTACCCAACAGTTCGCGAGGCTAACAAGGAGGGTGCCCCCACCTTCATTGAGAAGCCAACCATCAAGCAGGAGGATAACGGCCGTCGTTTGGTCATGGAGTGCAAGGTTATGGCGGACCCCAGGCCCAAGGTGAGCATTCAAATTAGTTTTGCCTGTTCTCAGGACCGGTGGATAGTTGGCTACATTATACTATGACCCAGCTTTTTTCACTAACTTTGAGCATCAAACTAAGAAAGAAACTATGTCCAGGGGTGAGATTTGTCAGGATTTTTCCAACAACGTTTCTTAAAATCTGTGAAATCCGGAGTTTACCATTAAGGTGTTTTTAATGAGAAATATTGACAGATCACAATAAATTGGTCTTGTAAGAAGTGCCTTTGGGCACACATAATTGTATACTTTAGCCCCTATGCTGCTGTGGGGCCCCCCAAGCCTCTAGTGATTCTTTCATGGGTATTTTTCACTCAGTCTCACCCTTGTGTATCATCACAAAATAGCGACAAAGTTTGAAAATTTGCAGGAATTTGTGACGTGATCCAAGAACACCGTTCACATGGTGAGCTGTGTCCTTTTGGTGCATATCAACTTCAAACTGATCTGGACACTGTCCTCTTTTCAAAACTGTTTAGATCATGATTCTAGACAACCTAGATTCCTGTTGTAGACAACCTAGAATCATAAATGTAATATATCTGAAAACAAGATTGTGTCCATACTAAGTGCTAGTTTATATGCACCCAAATTGCATACATGTAGCTCACCATGTGAAGGGTTTTTACAGATCACATCACAAATTCTCTTATGTGGGAAGAGTTTGTCATTAGCTTAAAACACAAACTGCAATTTTTGTTTTAGATTTTCCAAGTTTTGAAAAGAATCCACAGGAAATTATAAACTTTGTTTTACAATCACAGCTTGTGACTTGTAAGTTCATCTTGTTATTGACAGCTAAAGAATGTTTCAGTTGGGCTACTTGTATTTTCTGGCTTTTCAACCCTTTGACACTATGTGGGTGTAGCGTTTGCGTGTTGAAATATTGCAAAGTTATAAAAGGCTGCCAAGAATATGTAGCATTATTTTAAAAGAACTGTAATTAGTTATCTGTGGCCAAAGACTTTTTAGGTAAGACTTCCAACGGTCTATCCCACAATACATTGCTACCACATTTGCTGTGGCCTTCAGTCTCACATTCAGTGTGCAAGGTTATTTGAAGTGCCCAGAGTACAAGGTTCAGCTTAACTTTGCCCTGGGAACAGGGTTGATATAAAGTGGCGCATCACATTGGCCACATTGGCAGCATTCCAAGCATGCCAGTCCAGGGTCCTGGCAAATTGCCAAGCTGTCCCAGAGTTATATGAGTCAGGAACTGAGAATTTTATGTGCCATCATCGTTATTATTTGGTTCATTGGATCATGTTTGCCTCATGTCATCTGCCTGCAAATGCCATTAAAATAAAGTCCTCTGCTAAATAAACTATTACTGGAAATAACTTCAAGGGTCAGACAGCGCAACATATCCAAATAATTTACATTATTGTTCAGAATCATAAACTGTACCAAGAAATAATTTGTTTGGTAGCAGAAGTACATTCTGTAATGTTAAGAGTTAAATGCACTAGATTGCTGATTTTTTTATGGCACACATAGATGTCTGGGCGTAGTTCAGTGAAGGTAGTTGTGGCAGTGTGTCTTGATAAAGGACACAATGACCTCTGTGAGATTGAGACCAGCAATTTTTGCAGTAGAATATCTTTCCTAATTTCATAGTATGGTTATCAATGACCGAATTCTTCTATAACACTCTTGGTACTGTTTTCAGGTACTCAAGCACTGGGCATACTCATCCGTATTCATTCACTCATTCATTAGTGATCTTTCTTTTCCAGTTCACTTCACAGGGCCATGGATTTCTTTGCACACATGTTCATGTTTATACAGGACTATTTTGTTTGACAGTACAGGCCAAGAAGCAGTAGTGTCCCCTCTTCTATTGTGGGCTGTATACTTAGCTTTGTTTTGTAATGCAGAGTGCCGATCCCAAAACTCCCAATTTCTTTGTGTGTAAGTTCAACAGGTTTTTTCCTGAATGAGGTGGAGTGTAACACACTGGTGCTTGTTTTGCATGAAAATGAGATGTGAGCCTAGTATGGAAACACTATTGGGTGTGCCTGGGCAGGGCATTTTTTGATCATGACATGAACTGAGGGAGTAGAGTCTGCTGATTGTCAGAGTTGTGTGCTTTTCTGTGCCTGTTTTCTGCCCTTTTGCTGCACAAGAAGCAGATTATTACAGACTACTTAAGGCAGTTGAGTGAAACCTAGAGTGGTTAGATCAACAATCCAGGATTTAAAACAGCAAGAAAACTGTTAATATTTGAGTCATTGTTGGAGTTAGATATTTGTGATGTGCTATTGTGATGAATGTTAGAAATTAATGACGGGTAGTCTCCCTCAAGAACTGAACAAATATAATGTTAAGGTAATCATTTCAGAGATTTCGCCTTGTGTAAGTTTGTGGTATTTGGGCATTATTATTTGTGTTTTGGCCAAGTTTTTGTTTTAAAATTAGGTGGCCCAAATCGTATCTCATGCAGGAAGTGCCTGACACTGAAAGGGGGTTGATGCCTGATGAAGACCTCTTTCTTGGGTTTGACGATGTGCCTTTGAACCTGTGTTGCAGAGACGACTGAGGGCACTGTGATGGATTGAATGAACTCGAGTTGCCCTAGATCAACCATCACGGACTATTATGTGACAATGAGAGACCACACACCACAATCCTTCTCACCAATTTTATCGCGGTGAACTGTATTGTCTTTTAATATTCTGTAATCTGAACATCTCGTGAACTTTTGACAACTTCTGGTATGTCAACCTGTTAAAAACTCCAATTCGTCACATGATGGAGTGAGTGAAGTTAAAGGCGTGATTTGTAATCTGGTTTATTGTCGAAACTTGACTTCATTTTGTATGACACAGACTTTTAGTACCACTACCAATTGAGGCACCAGATCTGAGCTTGTAATGAAATACCCCCCATACTTGTATTTACTCACTAGACCCTTTAATGCGTAGTCCAGGTTAGAATGTTATTGGCATTCAACATTCATTTTTTATGCAGGTGATGAGAATCTTTTATCTTCATAACTTCAGAATTTGATTGTATCTGTGTGGCCTCTGTCAGTACCGGTACCTTACACCGTGGTGTAGTCATTTCCAGAGACCTAAACCACCGATAGTCCTGTGGTTTTGAGGTTTATTTTTATTTATTTTCGTGTGAAGAGAGGTACCACAGATACTTATTTACCCTAAGTGGTTAATAGACCTCCGAATCACTCATAGTACAGATATACAACTCCAACTGTGGTCTTTTGATGTACATAGTGGATTAAATCAACATATTTTTGATGACTTGAATTAATGAATTTGTAAATATCGAAGGCAGAAGAAAAAGAGCTGTAAATAAAATTGCACAGGAATTGTGTAAACAGACACAAGTTGTCCTTGTACTTATTTGGAGGTTGCAGTCTTTCCAGTCACTTCACTGTGCCAAATCTGTAGAATTAACTGTGACAGTCGATTTGAGTTGTATATTGTATTGCAGGTTTCATTGTCCTGTTATTACCAGTAGGATTTAGTCATCAATGCCTTTGCTGTTCACGTTGATATTGTCATTGCCTCTGGAATCACTGAGTGCCATTTTTCATGCATTTTAAATGTCACTGTGATTGTCACTTTCCTGTAATTTGTCATAGCTGTTGGCTGCGCTATTGTCACTGTTATTTGATATGTTGCCTCATTCATTTTCACTGGTGTCCACACTTCAGTTTTCATTTCTGGCTGCCTTATTCATTGCAATTTTTATTGTCACCATCAACATCACTGGCATCGCCAATATAATTGCCATTGTCAGGTGGTGTGGTACTACAACAATAAGGAGCTGAAGGATGCTGGGCGCTACCGCCTGCGCACCACCAAGCAGGGCAAGATCTATGTCTTGGTGCTGGATCTGTCTGGTGTCACCCCTCAGGACATGGGTGTCTACAAAGTGGTGGCTGAGAACGAAAAGGGCAAGGCCTCCTCCACGATGACCGTCAACTTTGAAGGTAACAAAAGAAGGCAGAGTTAACGTCTTGCACAATGCTGTAGCTGAGTCCTTCGCAAGTACTTCACTCAAATACTACAAAATATTCGGAAGTACCTCAGAAGTAGCCTATTTTCAGTGTAAGCCACAAACCTGTCATGATGAAGTGTAACAGAGACATCCTTTTCCTTTATTTCTCATTCACTGTTGGCAGTGATAGTACGTGTACTTGTGGTGTTCGTGCGAAGTACTTGACTATATGTACTTCATTGCTCTGACATATACATGCTTATAAGTATTATTATTATTGTTAATCATTTTTGATTACACCAAGGTTTCCTCGAAAGTGCCCTAAGCACTTCATTTGGGTCTGAGAATGAGGACTCAAGGTGTGTTACTCAGTTATTGTAATCACCTTGTCTGAGTCAAAGTTTGAGAGTTGAATTTGAGCCTGATTTGATCCTTGTTGGAAATTGAAATGTTTGGACTGCTATTTATTTCAAAATAGAATCCCGAAAGAGGGACCAAGTATAATAATTCAAGTGTCCATCTCATTCTGTTTTTCGACAAGTTCTCTTTCATGCATCTGTACTTTAAAATTCCTTCAGGTCTTATGTGTACATGTTTCATTTAACCTTAGACAGCTCTTAATCTTTCCTTTGTCCACAACTTTGGAACACTACCCAGAGAGCAGAGGGTAAGCTTAAATATTCACTTGTTTGTGTCTGATTGTACAGTCAAAGACAAGCGTTTTCCACGGAAGTTTGATGTCACTGCGGATGTTGCTAAGGTCCATGTGGACTTTCCACCCACCTCCATGGAGACCATCGACCTGGGGCCGGACTTTGGCACCCTGGAGCTGCTCATGCCGGAGATGGAGAAAGGCGGACCCATGGAGATTGAGCTGAGCAGCAAAGGGCCAGAGGTCCAGGAGAAGCCGGTAGTTAAGGACACAGCACCGGTCATTTCTGAACCTCTTCAAGATGTGGTAACTATTTTACTTATACAACGTAAACTGTCATGAGCCAACTGAATGTTTCTACTCCCCCTAGATGGGATGCTAGTCCATCCCAGGCTACTCTTCAGCTAATGGTGGTACCATTTATAATCCTCGGAGAGAGGCAAGTTGGGATAAAGTGGCTTGCCCAAGGACACATATGGCTAGCGACTGAATTGGAGCCCCAGACCGCCTTATTATGAGTCCTTAACTCTAACTACAAGGCCTCATTGTGTCCCTGCAAATACACATGAGATTTGATAAATTAGGGAACAATTTCATAGGGGTATCAAGCATGACGATTTACTAAAAACCAAAACAATTGCTTAGCAAGAACAGGTTACCAACCAAAATGCCACTTGATGTGAGTTAATATACTTGAAGCCAGTTCCCTAGATTATTTTTCTTTGTTGTATTCTCCGCTTAGCTGTTTCCTGATGTGGATTTGATGTTAATGAATTTGGAATCCACTAGGCAATGTGCTTAGCATTTTGCTAAGCTTATTTTGAAATCTGATTAGGTTCGAGAAATATTTTAACCACTTCCTGCCGGGTGGAGTTTGCACATGTCGGAAAAGTTGCCGGGTGATTTTTCATGATTTTCCATTTTCAACATTAATTCAGAATTTTTGCCCTGTCCAGCATATAAAAAAATCCTAAATTAATTAACATCTCCCTGGCGCAAAATCCTTCCTTGGACATGTTTGAAATAGCTTTCAAAATTGTAAAAAAATTCATAACTTTACTGGACGCTTACACCCACACAAATGACTGTCTGGTGGTTATTCTAATCTGACAGGCAGGCTCCATTGATGCCGGGGTATTGCAGCCAGGCCTGCCGCTTAGTAAAAAAATACATCTTTAAAATAGTTTGCGGTACCCACTTCTTCACGTGACTCGGACCTGCCAGCCGACCCCGGCAAGCTCGGTGGTCGAGTGGTTGAGAAGTCTGCACTAGTAAGCAGGAGGTCGTGGGTTCAAGTCCCACCCTAGTAAGCTTGTGACTTTTTTCGCAAGCTCTCGGACAAGCACTGAGCATACAGTGTTTATGAATAATATATACGTTGGGTAAGGGCAAAACCCGTAATATAAATTAGTAAAAAGCCCAGAATTATGCGGTGTTGCGTAATTTCCTTTGTTCCCGAAATTGGCCCAGTGTACTGCTGAATGGTGGTGGCGTCTTTACAAATACGGCCAGATTAGCGTGCAGTGGTATAGTATTGCTCATCGCTGGAGTGCTGGAGCACTTTTGTCCCCACTGATAATCTCTGGATGCAGAATGCAGCAAACAGTGGTATACTGTTTCAAAACAATAATGGATTACCTCTAAAATGCCAGCACTCTGTGCTGAAAATTTTTGGCAATTCCCAGCAGCTCGGTCTTTTGTTCCGAGGTCGGTCTTTCAATACAAGGCCCAGTTCCTTTGTCCGATTTTGGGCACTCCGGCCATGCGTATAAAGCCAACATCTCTGGTAAGCAGTGGTTAAGCAGATTGAAAAATTTGATAAGCAGAACAGCAGCCTCATGAGCAGTTAGTTAAGCACGTTTTGAAATGCAGCAAACAAAGTTTAAAATGTCAGGGAAAAAAGCAGATTCAGATATTAAAACAACTTTTTGATGCAAGTTTTGATAAGGTTGAACAGAAGTGTATCTAGGCTGATCAAGTCATGAGTAACTGACAATGAAAACATGAAGGGCATACCTTTTTTCGAAAGGGTCCTGATTGGTCTTTATTTCTTTGTGTGTGTTTGCAGGATGTACAAGATGGCACCTCCGTTGAATTCAGATGCAAAATCATTGGCAAAGTCACCAAGGTCATCTGGTACAGGTGGGGAACCCTTGAGTGTAGTATGGTAGCTGGTTACCCGGGAAGAGGGGACCTGTGATTACTTTCTCTGAGAGTCTGTCCAACTACTTAGCTACAGTTGGAAATAACATGGATACCTGTGGATGGCACTGGCTAGTGGCTGCAGCTACTTCCCATAGACATGTGTTAATCCTAGCCACAGTCAGTTAATTCAAACAAAGCCTTATATTCACCTGTCTGTAAAGACCCAGTGTTATACTTTTGATAGCATGTCTCAACACTCATGTGGTGGGTAGCCAGGAAATTTTGTATTTTGTTGTTCATGTGAAAGTCCACTCCATCATTTGGTGGATTCAGGCTACTCTATGTCAGCTCAAAACAAAATCTTGTTGAGGGCTGAGTGAGATGAAACATTCTTATTTTTTAAGTTTTGAATCAACACATTATTATAACAGTAACAACCTACGCACAATGCACAATATTCAAATTGAAAAGTATGTATATGAATATTCCATTATTAATTAACCCTAACTCTTCTCAATCCTTCACCTGTTGGAGGACTGAGGAGTGTTAGGGTTAATTGTTAAAATATTTCTTTATCTGGCACTGGTCTGCTATTGCTCAATATTATTTAATTCAATAGTTATTGTACCAAAAGTACTGATTTTTCTTATAATGTTCTTGTGCTTTCTATTTGCTCAGAGACGGCAAGGAAATTCGGCCCTCTTATAACATCAAGATGTCTCAGCAGGGCGACATCTACATCTTGCGCATGCCCAGGGTCGTGGCCAGAGACAGCGGTGACTACAGCGTCGTGGCAGTTGGGCCCGGTGGGGAGGCCAAGTCCGAAGCCGAACTTTTTGTTGACGGTAAGTTTTTTATTTGTGCTTTTTACGTTTGCCATTTCTTTCTTTCCAGATCACTGGTCTGATTTTGTGATGAGACTTGAATGCACTGTTTCACCAGTACAACTACCATTATGGTGTAGCTTCCAGTTGTAACCTATCTGACAATTATGCCTAAACACCGCCGTTGCCCTGCATGATGCTGTCAAGATCAGCAGATTCTCTAGTGGATATGCTGTTGGATCAACTCCTAGACTGTAATGAGCAAATCTAAGGAAAGAATCACGATGCCCGCTCACAAAGCACAATGCCTGTAAGACAAAACATAAACTTGCATAAGTCTTCTGCACTGTTGGCATATACTATTCAAATGCTGTCAATGCAAATCAGTGTAATATACTCAAATACCGATGAAGCTGGTATCATGTATACTGTGCGCCCTGTAGGCAAAACAGAAAAATGAAGTCATCTAATTAATTAGGCAACTAAACTTTAATTACACAGGCTTGAGCGAAGTGTCCCTAAGTCATAAGAGCTACATTCTAATTGAAACAAAATTAGTGACTACCACAACTCTGCTTCTTACTCACACACACGTGGCATAGCTCATCACTCAGTACATAATCAAAATCTATACAGAATATCAAGAGGATATAAGCACTCAAAGAGAAAGTATGCAAGAGAATCAAGGCTCACACACAATCTGAAATGGTTCAAATAATCACAAGACAGAATTATACAGAACATTCACTGTTTATGCCAAAGAGAATTGCAGTAACACTAAAATAAAAGTTTAAACAAGATTCAAGTGATTGATGTGTTCATCTAAGAATTATACAGAAACATTCACAGTTTATGCCAAAGAGAATTGCAGTAACACTAAAATAAAAGTTTAAACAAGATTCAAGTGATTGATGTGTTCATCTAAGAATTATACAGAAACATTAAGATTTCTACAGCATCTCTGAAAAGATAGCTCAGTTGAAATATACAAAAAAGTGGGCTGCACACCATCCACCCCCTCTCTGTCTGTCAGCCACATCAGCTTCCTTCCCCCCAGTGGCAACTGGAGGAATGTGTCAATGTGGTATTTCTATGGGTAGCTCTCTCAAGCTGCAGTCTGCAACTGAGATACATGTACTTAATTGGCCCATGAGACACCCTAATGTGTCCCCATAGGTTCTGCTCTTGATTGAACACCACCTGACTATCTCTGCACTGAAATATTCCGGGCTTGGGTGTCTTCATCTTCGTTTCTCGTATCTTGGCCAGTACCCTGCACACACAACCCCCCCAAAATAGAGAAATTCAATAAATCAAATTTCTCTATCAACCCTTTTGTGTGGTTGGGGACTATCCTTGAGTCCCTGTGTCTGAAAAATTATTACACAGTCCAGGCGGTACTGCTGGGCTAGTCGTTGAATCCATCTGGGATAGTGTCTTGCTCTGCTGTGCACTGCTTAACTGGACCCATCCTGACCCTGGGCTTCAGGATTTTCTTCCTGACTTCTTGCGACTGCCTCTTTGGCACTTTCTGTCACATCATCTTGATGCAAAGTTTCATCCTGTGCCTCACTCTGTGAAAGTCTTGTCTGTTCTACTAGAGGGCTTTCTGTCACCACCTCTTTCAGGCTCTACTTCACCAACATGTGCCTGTAGCCTATTTACATGCACCACATGGGGCTTTTACCCCATTTCAACTTGATATGGACAACCATGTACACCCGACAGTTGTTTCACTCCCCGCGGAATTATGCAGCTGGACTAGCTGTCCCCTCTTTTAGACCTGTCTTTGTCACCTTTTGGTTGCAATTTCTTTTCTGCCCAGACGTGTTTTTGCCAAGGTTCTCTCTTGATCATTCATATGCCCTTCTCATATTGCTTTGCTGTGCTTCAAAGTCTCTCTTGGTGTCGTTCTCTGTGTCTCGACATCTAGTGGTCAGAACTACAGGTGTGCTGACCTCCCTCCTCAAAATCATCATGTTAGGGGATTCCCCCCTGTCAATTCTTGTGATGTGCTCCGATATGCAAAGATGGCACATAGGAGCATCTCATCCCAATCTCTTTGTCTCCTCTTTGGATTGATGAGAACAGTCACAATGTTGACAGATGTCTCATTAAATCAATCTCTTAACCATCCCATCTGATCTTGGATTACAGTGGAAGGCCACTATAATGAACACGGCTGTACCAAACACTTGGGTACACTGAACAGCCTCCTTGGCTCATGCATTACCTGTGCTTTGTAAAGTTGCATTAAATACAAGAAACACATTTAGTACTGATGATAGCAGCTCAAAGTTGAGGAAAATTGCACTCATGATGAAAAAACAGCCAACACATAGCACTGTCTGTAATGTTCGTGGGAAGCCTACATAGAATGTACTGTATGTGAGGGTGTCCCCAACCGGCCATGTAGACTGGCTGCCGAGTGCATGTATGCAACATTGATGACTCTGGTACGGAAAAATTTTCACAATAGTCTCTATAAAGCTGGGAGATTAGAACTCAAACATTTGAAATAGACCCAAGCATTTGTTACTTACATGTAGCTCATAGAAATCTTCCGTAAATATCTCACAATTAATGACTGAAGGAAAACTTAATTGCATCAAGGACACAGAGGCAAATTGGTCTGAGCAGCGATGTTAGTTGCTGTCAACATTGTCCACATTTCAGGGCACTATGGCATTTGCCATGGTTGTCCGGGTTAGATTTGATCCCGTTTATACTGTACATGTACTACTAGTAAACTCACATCTGGGGGACACAGTAGTTTCTCTCTGGTTTACTGATTTTATGCTGGCATCAGTGAGAACTTTCTCTCCCCATCCCCTAGTTTGGACAACATTGCACAGATGCTTGCTCCATCTGTGTTGGTGTTGAGGATGAAGTCGCCCTCTGGAACGGGGTCGACCGTGATTGGAGCAGCCTGGAGCTTACTCTTAATTCCTTCAAATGTATTCTTGCATTTGAAGGCATCTTCGACTTCTCAGTCAAGGCATGCATAGGACTAGCCATCTCCACAAAACCTCTGCTGTACTTTAAGTAATAGGACGCATGGCTGAGAAAGCTTCTCACATTCTGTACACACTTCGTCCCTGGCCACTCTGCCACTTCTTTCACCTTCTCAAAGCATATCAAAGCATTTACATGTATAAGGCACACAGTATATCACATTTTCTGTAATTCAAAGGCACTAATTTATTGTCACTATCCCTGCACATTGAGCTCACAACATCTGAACATTCCTGAAACCATCTCAGCTCCCTGGGGAGTATACCAGCCTGATGCTGCCATATCAGGCGCAAATGGCTAAGCATAACTTGACCATATCAGCCTTTACAAGTATCCATGTACAGTATTCCTAGTTGGAGAGAGGCATGTAGGTGTAAGATCACATGACACTGCCACCAGCTGGATTTGAAGCCCTGACCCTATGATCAGAAGCTACAAACCCTAACACTAGGCCACATCCCCCCAAATCCAGCACAAGTTTTTCCACTTGCCAAAGGTATGGCATCTTTTGATCAGATACACTCCTCTTGTACAGGTCTTGCAAATACACTAACAAACCCTTTCCTACTTCTGCTGACTCGTTCATTTCTCTTTGGATGACCTGAGTTCCACCCTGGTGACCACTCCTGCATTTGTTTCTTTCTTTTCAACTCTCGCTTTTTCTAGTTCTGCAAAGGATGCCTACCTTGACCAGTGATCTGGCCAGAACTATTTTTTTTTTTGCCACATTTCCACCTCCAACAAGGGGCTCTTATACAGCTAACCCTTCCAGCTAGGCACCACCAATATTGTATTTTGGCCGGTACCAATATATCGTTTTTTTATATCGAAATTATTGATATGTATCAAATTTTATTCATTTATTGCATGCCTTAGGTATTGTAACAGGCGTGAATGGCTGTTAAATTGTTCTAAGGGTTCACCCCTACACCGCAGTGGTGTGATCCAATTGATTTCATGATATGTTCTGGCGTCGGTATTGTGTATGTTGCCTACACACTGCCATGCATAGTGATATCATTAGCATGCTAGTCTACGTACGTTTGGTTAGCAAATAATTCTCTCTGGAGGATAAATTTTATGATATTTTCGAGGCAAAGTGTACGTGAATTATTGAGTGCAAGACTGGGATAGGTGCCTAAATTTATTCTTCAAATGTCGCCATATAAGCCGCCCGGAGTATAAGCAACAGGGACATTTTTCACTCGGCGTGAGAACCTTTGTAAGCGGTGGCTTATCGAAAATTACGGTAATGTGACAATGCACTTTCATATATTTTTAATAAAGTTCATTTTTCAGTAGTGATTCATGTATTTTCGATACATTTTTCAATATTGATTTTTTCGAAATTTCAATATTTTTGATATTTCTCCAAAACCCGATATTTTTAATACATTTATATTACCAAATAACTAACATCGGCAATATCGACATCAAACCCATATCAATAATATCGATATATCGACGGTGCTTACTTCCAGCCCTTCCTCTTTCTGAGCTGTACTGCCCAGCATCACAGCCTTGTGTCTGTGGGAAATCACTGTGGGTTATGTTACCACTACTCTTCCCACAAGGGGATCTACGGCACCACTGGGGCACCCTATTCTCTCTTGCTTGATTCTCTACTCCTGGGTCTAGAAGTCCAAATACCCACCAGATAAGAGAAAGACCCTACCCAAAACACCTGGGCAGATCTCGTCTATGAGGACTGCCTTCACTGGGTGCATGGTCTTACCCACTTGCACACCTTCCCAAGCTGTACCTAGGACAGAAAGGGGACTCTCATCAACCTGTCTCACTTGAACTTGCCCTTTGTTCATGACTGGCCTCTTCTGGTATCTGATACTATATTACTTGTGAGCATTTCTTTGGCGCTTGTGACAATTAAAAATCGACACCTCATTCCTCTCACCACTCGATCCACATACAGTCCACCCTGGGGACTAAGGTTGGCCAGTGGAAGGGTCACTTTCACTTTGCCATCCTCTGATCTCCTCTCCTCTACGGCCTGGTCTCGGCCTGGTCTCGTCAACCGGGCCGTCTCTTGGGCCTTTCAATATTCCCAGCATTCCCATGGACCTTATGGGTGACTGGAACCTGTCTCCTTACTTCTGGGTTTGCTTTTTGGGGTTTTTGCACTCTCAGAAAAGGCTTTCCTTGCTACACCTATTAAAAGTCACTTTGGTCACCTTGCCTGTTCTTGAAAGGTCTCCTCTTCCTCTGCTGAGGGTTCAGCCCACATAGATACCCTATATTTACCCTATGCCAGTTGTGACAACTTTGTCAACATTTCAAGTTATTCAATCCACCCTCTAGCTTGCTAAATTTCTGTTCCACCCCAGAGTATAATGCTCTCACCATTTTGGCAGGCTTACCATCAAGCATTTGGTGCTGACGCTTTCAAAATTCTTGGTTCATAGAGCTTCCTTGATAGCTTCACTCCAAAACTTCTTATGAGCACGGTTTATGCCTCCCCGTGTAGACCAACTTTTCACTGCCTCTAGAAAGTGATTCTTTGCCAATTGGTCATGCAGTTCCTCCTGAATATCACAGTATGTCTTGACCACAGACTGTGGCTTATCCAACGGTCTCTTTAGACTTCTCTCACTGATACATGTACCCGGGCTCATTGAGGTCATTTTCACTCCGGTGACCTGAACCAAACCTGTCAAGCATTTTCACCAGCTCACTATATGAGTGCAGTTGCAGACTGGCAACCAAATAGGCAGCTGCCTGGTCTTCGTTCTACTTGTTCACTACTCTGCACAATTCGAAGTGCTGGAAATATTCTTTGCCCAACACCTTGCCACACACGTAGTATCTGTCAGGGATGACATTTGGGAAACAGTTTGGCAGTTCTAATGTCTTATACTTCCTTTCACAAACTCTCTTTCCCTCTTCAGAGACCATGGGCCCTGATGAAGTGGTGTTCGTTTTCTCTACCTGGCTGCTGCTGACCTCATCCACTGGATGGGTTGTAAAGCTTAACAGCTATTTCTTGCGGGATCTTTGCCGCAATGTGCAGGGTCGAGTTACAGCATCTCTGCTCCCTGATCTGTCCTACTCTGTACCTTAGCCCTGAAAGGACTCAATTTTCCTCTATTACTCTTAGGATGGTCACTGGTCAGACTCCTTCCAAACCAGTCACTCTTTGAGGAGTACTTCCTTCTAAGTTCTACTGTCTTTCCACCCTTGAGAAGTACCTCTGGTGAGCTACATGTACCTGAAGCCACCAGATTACATTTTTCCAACTGAGAGACATAGCCAGAGCTTACTAGTGGCAACCTGAATTCAGTCTCCAATTCCACTTGTTTACTCACATACCTGTTCTTCCTGGGTTTGTCTGAGCCACTCCCCTCTGGGGGAGTTTTCTGATCTCTCATTGTAACTTTTAATGACTTCTAATGACATTGTCGTTTGCCATGAAATCTCTCTCCCACTGTAGGAGTTGGGTTTCTAACTTAAGCCTCTGCATATCTGTTTCCATACTCACAGGACTCTGTCTGTTCATACTATTGCTCTATTGAAAATGGGACATGCACCTTCCTGTTTCTCCTGGCAGGATTACTACACTTGCCCACTTTCTTTTTCTGTGTTTTTGACATTTCAGACTCACTTGCCAGTATGGGAAAACTGCCCCAACTTCAGAGAGCGATATACTAGTACACCACATTTTGTGTTTATTCCCAAGGAGTGAGTCTAGGTTTTAACTGTTGAAAGATACCCGGTATCTCCAATCGTTGAGAAAGTCATCAGACTTAAATCTTAATTCTGCTTTGACTCATAAGTCTGATGAGAAATATGAAGGTTCAGGGGAAGGGGGGTTGTTTTGGTGGAAATATACCACTGATTAGTAATTGATGGGTGACTTGTTGAACATGTTGAACTGACACAACCTTACACAAGCACATGATGAGGAATTATCAGCAAGAACAATGTGAACTTATTTAATAATCTTCTCCTTTATTATTGGGAATTATTTATGTTACACAAGTGGATTTCAGTCATTCAGTAGTTGTACAGTTTTAAAAGTGTTGTGTATGTAATCTGCAATCCACAATATGCAACCAGGCTACTTCCCTGAAATTACCACATTGTCTTCGGGATTGCTACTTCCTAACTCTGACTCCAAGTGTAGGGGAACTTCAAAGCAGCAGTCAGTTCTCTTCCTCTCCCGACTGTCACCGTATTTCTGACGGTGACCTCTTAAAAGAACAGTCAGCCACCTAGCCCACAACTTCTCCCTCTATCTCTGTCAATGTATTTTGAGTACAAATGCAATCGACCACTCCAATCAAATTTGATTCCAGTAGGCATGTAACTATCACCAAGGAATTGTTTCACCTACACAACTACATGTATCACTGTATATCTTCTGTTAGTGCCTGAAAATTATGGATAACACTTGTTGTTGCTCTGGATCACACTCTCAAGATTAGTGGATTCTCTTGCAGATTCGCTGCTTGACTGTCTCCGCTGCCTAACTCGCACCTATCAGGAAAGAACTAACTATAAAATCACACCGCTCGATCACAGGGCACAGCGCACACAAGACAAAACATAAATTTGCATAAGTCTCATGCTACCACCTATATGTACATGTACTATACAAATTATGTCAACATAGATTATTACAATACGCTTAGGTACCAACAAAGCTTATATCGCATATGCCCTATGCCCCATATGCTGAATACATAATGAAGTCCTCATCTGCTGAATTAAAGACAATTAAACTTGACTAAACTGTTCCATTATAGTATTTGTTCAAACAGCTAATTCTCTGGTGGGTTCCTGTTTCAGTAATTTTTTGATGTAAAAAGAAAAATTTGCCCTATGGTATGTTGATGAAAACAGCAGTGATTTCTTTCCCTCCAAGATCTGCCAAGCAAACCTGTTCCAGCACCCAAGGATGAACCGACGAAACGACGTGCTCCCGAAAAACCAGAAGGCAAGACCTCATCAGCTGTTGAACATTTCGAAGGATTTAAAATGCCTATATCAAAATTACCAAAAAGTCACAAATAATTATGCATGTACTGTATGTTGTAATGGTTGATTTTGCTTCCTGTTTGTACCAGTTAAAACAATTTGTGCAATTATCCAGATTTTGTAACTTTTAATAATTGATTTCTTCCCGTTGCCATGGACACACAGAAGTACCCACCAAAGCCCCAAAAGTTGAAGAACCTTTGGAAAAACCTGTTGCCATGGAAGTGGAAGAAAAAGGCAAGAAATCAACGACAAATTAGAAGTTATTGCAATATTTGTTGCCACCAGACAATGAGACACAAAACATGAAATTCTAATATTTTAATATTTAAAAAAAACTTTCTTTCTATCACTTCCTTTACAAAACTGCCTGTCACCATTTGCCTAAGTCAAGCAATTTTACGGGACAGATGATTCTCTGGACATAAATGCAGATACATTGTAAATTCGATTTCATGAAACAAAGCATTGGTAGTTCCAAAAGCAATGGGAGATTCATTAACTTAGTTAAAATGCATTCATCTCAGCAAAGGTGAATTGTGTTTGCTTTCATGCCAAGTATGAGCTGGCCGTTTGAGGTGCATGTACACTGTGCCTGCGTCAGTGTTCATGTTTTTATAGAGCGTGTTAACATTTTTTTCACTTTAAGCTACTATTAAACTTTCCTGTTGTATTGTTCCCTCCACAACAAGGCAAACAAACGTGTACTTTTTAGATGTACAATTGTAAATTTCTGCATAACATTCCACAGTTCCTAGTAAGCCAAAACCAGGGGAGCCAGCTAAAAAACCCACTGAGATGAAACCCTTGGACAAAGACAAGAAAGGTGAACAGTCAACAAGGCAAAAACTGATGACGAGAAATACAGTGCATGGCATTAGAAAATATTCTTGAAAATAATAGCTTACCTCACCCCTTTTCTTTAAGTTCTTTCCAGAGGTTGGAAACATATGGAGTGTATGCGTCAGTGATCAGGCTGCTTTATATGACATTTCATCTTGCTCATTTGCATGATGAACATCATTACACGTGTATGCCTCATTATCGGATCTTGTCTTCAGCTGTCTTTTCCCTTCAGAGTTGTTTTTGATTTTATGATTTGTTTGGGGGGGGGAAGCCTTTTTAGCTGAAACGCATCATTCAGCACAAAAGTGAGATGTTGGTTGTTTGCTTTGTCTTGTACCAGCCGGCAAAAGACACCACCACCCCCAACTTTATGTAGTGTTAAATAGCATTAGCACCAATATAATGGGCCTGTTCTTTCAACCTTTGGCATTTCTGATGACAGTGTTTCTTTGTGTATGCCACCTTGTTGTGCAAATGTGCATAATCTTTTTTGTTCTACTTTTGCTTGTCTTGAAAAAAAGCTTGATCGTTTTTTATTACGTTTGTCTTCAGAAGGTTCTGCCAGCCTTTACAGAGGAATTGGTTAAGATTTTTTGTTGGTGCACATTTTCACCTTGCAAGAGTAAACCGTAGCTGGATTAACATTTTCTGACAGATTTACATAGCTATTAACTTAGCATTCCTCAGGTCCACAGATTTGAAACTATAATATTTGTTGGCATTAATCTGTGTTTTGGTTTGCAGAAATGCCTGGGAAAAAGGAGCCTGAGAAACTGCCAAAAAAGCCAGAAGTTGGCAAACCGACAGAACCAGGCAAGGATTTGCAAACAGTTGCATCATTTACTCTGCATTTTACGGAACAGTTAAACGCTTGTTTAAATAGTCAATACAGTCTGGAATTCATCATCTTTAAATGTTTGCTTGGGTGTGTACTCAAAATCTGTGTATGTCTGTGAGCTTCCCTTGCCTTTTATTTCATGTTCTGTTGTTAACTTTTTTGTTCTTTTTTCATGTGTGACAAGCCTGTCAGTTTCTAAATGTAAACAGATATTTGGTCCATATTTAGCTCCACAAGGAGAATACAGAGAGTCGGTTGTCGTTCATATGTGTTTCTGTTTTCAGAATTTCCGAAGAAAAAGGAGCCGGAAAAACCGCCAAAAAAGCCAGAAGTTGGTAAACCGACTGAACCAGGCAAGGATGTGCCAAGAACTGCATCTTGTGCACTGCATGATGTTGAACAGACAAATAGCTATTTGAATTTACAAAATTCACAATGTTGCATTTTGAATTACAGATGCTGTGCTTGAGAAAGCTTTGTGTGTACACCTTTGTTAATAGTTAGGATTAAAGATATTCATCTTCTGTGAAGTGTGATACATATTGGTGAAGATGTAATCAGTCACTGAAAATGATGAAACTTGTAAATTCAATTCATCTCAAAGGTATCTGTCACATTGTACATGTATGTTTCGGCGCTTTCCACATCTAGATGAATTTTGGATAACTTCAGCTAAAACAGATATTTCTGGCAGCATAATTTTGTTGGAGGGATTACAATTACAGAATGTGAAGGAAATCTGTGATTATCTTTATTTTCATTTCCATATCAGTCTGAGTCGGTTTATCCTTTCTTTAGTTTCACGAGTAGAGCACTTGTATGTATGTTCTGTTTCCAGAATTTCCCAAGAAAAAGGTTCCAGAAAAACTGCCAAAAAAACCAGAAGTTGACAAGCCGACCGAACCAGGCAAGGATGTGCCAATAATTACATCTTGTGTATTGCATAATACGGAGCATGCAAATACTAAGGTTACAAATACAGTCTAGGATTTTGAAGTGTAGATTCTGTGTTTGTTACTTTTGATTTTTCTTATTTCCACATCTTTCAATGGACATTGTAATACCACCAGGAGAGTACTGAGTTTCTGCTATCATCAATATATGTGTTTCTGTTTTTAGAATTTCCTAGGAAAAAGGAGCCGGAAAAAATGCCCCAAAAGCCGGAAGTTGGCAAACCGACTGAACCAGGCAAGGATGTGCAAACAGTCACTTCTTGTTCACTTTGTCTTATTACGAAATAAAACTAACCATTTGCTTTCATTTGCAAGTTACAAATAGGAGGAAGCCATGTTTTAAAATTTGTTTGAATATCAGTCTGCTTTGAATTGCCTTAAATGTTGGGTACGATGACACTGTACATGACAAACTTGCACAGCAATTGAAAAAACTCCATTCAGTGATACCGTGGTTTTGAGACATTTTTTATTTTCTTTCCTGTTTCAGACAATTTTGCCATGGTTTGAACAGCAGCATGTCTGTTTGCACTGTGTCTTTCAAATATGTATGTCAGCTGGTTTTGCATGTCACGGTCATTCTATTTGTCGCCTTTCTGTTCTGTTTTTCTGTCTAACTTACCTGTTCAGGTTGTGAGTGCACTCTTACACATATTTTTTGGTTTCTACTTTTTTGTTAAATTTGTCACAAATAGATCTTGCCAGCTGCACTGTTGTTATTCAGTCATAAGACATTTGTAACAACTTACCGAAAACTTTTTCTCAAGTTCCACAGGGATAATGCTATCTTTTTTGCTGTCATTAATTTGTGTTTACCTTTTCAGAAGTGCCCAAGAAAAAGGAGCCCGAAAAACCACTGAAAAAGCCAGAAGTTGGCAAACCGACAGAACCAGGCAAGGGTGTTGCAAACATTGCATCCTGAGACCATGTAAAATTGTTAACCAACGGAATTTTTCTTTTTTAGGGGGGGGGAGCTTAAGTTTATTTTTATAAAAGTAAATTACATGTATATTAATTTACCCAACTCCAATAATTACTAACTACTTTTCAAAGATTTGTGCCAACAGAAAACTGAGTGTTTGCTGTCATTAATGTATGTTACCATTTTCAGAATTTCCCAAGAAAAAGGAGACAGAAAAACTGCCAAAAAAGCCAGAGGTTGGCAAGTCAACTGAACCAGGCAAGGGTGTACGAACATTGCATCATGTGCACCGCGGATGAATGCAAAATAACAAACAATACTGATAAGCTTGCATAATGAGTTAGAGGTGGTCTGAGTGAATCTTGCTCTAATGTTACTCTGCTCATACTTGCTGCTCGGACATGAGCATTATTACTTCACATTCTTTTGGCACTCAAACTTGAACACCAAAAAACTTTAAATTGAATTCAAAACTATGACTTTGAATCAAATTCTCCTTTTGAAGTTGTACTTCCAAAGGTAAAATACTCTGACTTGACTCATACTGAACAACCTCAATAGATGAAGGTTCTTGGTACTCTAAAAAATTACTCAACTGCAGAATCTTACGTTTCTCCACAGAGCAGTGCATTTGAGAGGATTTTCTCAGACAGACCCACATTTCATTGAAAGCACATCTACCAACAATATCCTTTGACAGCACGCAGGTGTAAACTGCATGACAGCAAATCAGTGCACTCATTTATTTTGTTTCAGATACAATGTAAGTGCAAATTTTGTTGTTGTTTATGTTCTAGCAAGATGGACAGTTACTGTAAGGTAGAAATGAGTGCCTATAATGATGTAGTAATGATATGCGTAATGAGCCTTTTTTTCAGCAGGAAAATGTGAATGCTGCACGGAGTACAATGTACACTGCATGACTGCACTATTTTAATAAGCTTTGCAATCGATTCAATATGAAGTACTTGAACTGTGTATACCAATAGTACACTGCCCCTGGTTGTCATTGAAGATGTAAGAATTATCTGTAAGCATGGTTGGTCATTTGTCTGCACCACCATGTAGATTTTTTACGCAGATTGTAAAATGCTATATGTACATGTATATCAAGCTTCATACTTCCCCTAAAACCTGTGGAAAAAGTTGACAAGATGTAAAATTTTAAGCAGATAAATTTGAGCAAACTTGCTGAATTTACCTTTTAGTAATTTTCACTTTAACAAAAAACAATTAATTTGGAATTTCGAGAATGTCCTTATGGCGCTGAACCGACTGAGTTAGTTTTCAGTCTTCTTTCACCCCTTGAAAGTCAAATGGTATATTGGCAGACCTTCATCATCATTTTGCAAGATAGCACCGTTGATGAACTTTTTGTTGGATTATTTGAAAGGTTGCTGGTTCAATTCCTGTATCAATGCAGTCTCTGTGGTTCACTGAAAATTTGAATAAAGTTAAACGGATGAAACATCCAGGCATCTCAAGGTTTTCATCAAGGCAAGAGGTGTGGCAGACATTCTTTCCATCTTGCACTATGCCACTCATCTTGGAAAGCTTGCATCTTTATCTTCAGACACGCCACCTAAGAAGAAAGCCCCTAAGGATGAGGAAGCCCCACCTGAGAAGAAGCCCCGCCCAGCAGACACACCTGACTCTGCTCCCAAGGAGGAGGCCGTCGTGCCCATGGAACAGGCCCCTGCCGAGTCAGCCCCGCCTGTGGATAAGCCTGCAAAAGAGCCCGCTGTGCCAGTGGTGCAAACCCCCACTGAATCTTTGCCCACACCTATGGAGATTGAGATCAGTCCAGAGGGAGGAATCGTAGCTCGCCAGGCCCCTGAAGAGCAGGCTGCTGTTCCCAGACAGCGACGTCTGTCGGCAACCGATTATCTGGGTATGCTGATTTTGAACTTTTTTACATTTTTCCCTCATTAGGTTAAAAAATTATTTGCAAAAACTACAGTACAAGTGAACATAAGTGTTTAACAAATGATCTTAATACATTCACAATAATATCCCTAGAATTTCCCAAGATGTTTTAATTTAATATCTTTCCGATTATGACTTGCAATTCACAAGTTTTAGCTGTAATGGTCATAATTCACCAATTTAAGGTATTTTTCACAGTGAATTCCTTCTGCATTCTCCGTCACATTTCTTATCTTGTCAGTGACTCAGTTTTTTTCACAAACGTATACAGCACATTTACAACCTGAAAAAAAATTGTTTAACCTAACCACCAACCTGTCTGCCGCCCTCGTGTAACAAACAGATGAGGAGCCTGCCCCGGAAGCTGCACCCGAGGGAGAGGAGAGTGCCCCCAAGGAAGGTGAATGCTCCTCCTGGCTCGTGGTGTGACTGATGTGACGCCAACATCCAAATTTAGTTTTTATTTCACTTTCCCCCACCCCTTGCTGTGGCAATATACCCCTACCCTCCTGACACACACCCATACAGATGCATATGTGAATACAATTAGACTTGCATGCCTCTGTTGAATTTTTTTCCCATGCCTGGGTTGGGGAGATTTGGGGCAAAATAGTCAAAATTTCATACAAACTGCTTTAACAAACTTGTTGCAGATGGGACATTTGATATGTTAAGTGCTTTGTGTATTTTCCTTTTTTTCAATAGGGTTGAGCCCCCCAAACGAGAGAAAAATTAATTCAGACTTGAATTTCAGACTCTACAATGCTGTTCCATTGATCAAACAAATGATCTTTCTTTGGGCATTTTCAGAAATGATAATCTTTTTCACGTTGGCGAAATGTTTGGCCCCAGATTTGACTAACCCAGGTGTAAGCTGGCCCATAACACCCCACAGCTCAAACCGATGTATTTACATTGCCGTGTTGTACATCTTTAATGTAACTTCTTGATGCAGAGTGAATCCGCTTTTTCTCCTGAAGTGTTTCAGAAAATCCTGAGCCTTTTTTGCAAACTTTACTGGACTTTGTCCAAAAGTTCTTCTGTATGTTGAATAAAGGGAAGAGAGCTGTAGGATTTCCGATAGAAAGGCTTAAATACACAAGAGCAAAATTTTACTGTTGTAAAGATGTTCATGAATCAAAACTTCAGTATTCCTTTAACAAAATTCTTTTGGTATCTCTTCAAGGCTTTTTTTTGGGGGGGAGTGTACAAAATAAGAAGTATGGACAATCAATATTTCATTCTCAAAAAGAGTAAGTAGGTTCTGTTTTTATGTGCACAAAATCTTGTGGGGTAAATTTCCCTCAAAAAATTTGTGTAGCAAGTTGACATTGGTATGAAATATAGAATCTTGGGTCATCAACTATCAGGCTATTTGGTCATTGACAGTTGATGAGTAAACAAAACTTTCACTTTCAAACTGCAAAGAGTAATTCAGTATCATGAAACCTCGCAATTGAGCAGTTTTTAAGAAAATTTAACTGGTAAGAAATTGTTACATAGTTTAATAGTGTTCAATTTGTCCAGGCAAACTGTTGCAACAGCCAGCTAACTTCTCCCTTCCATTTACTCATTTGAGCCCTCCAGATTTTGCAGTGTTGTAACAAGTCCTCACAAGTCAGTTACAAGTTGTCCAGTTTCAATTCAGGTCACAAACAATTCCAGTGGACAGTGACAATAGCATTCCTTTGTCACCGTTCATTTCTTGTGGCTCGTTGATGGGCTTGTTATGGACCCGTCCGCAATGCTGAAATTCTCTTTCCAAACCCTGAGCTGCTAAGTGAAGACCCTCCAAATCCTTTCCAAAGAGTTTGTTCCCAGCGGATATCCATTCCAACCTCTCAAAGTAATTTCCCTTTTGACAGCCTCTGTGTGTCTTGCTTATTTCCCCTCCCTCTAAATGGCAGGCCACTCCTCTTTGGAGAGCTAAATGTGAACCAAAACCCTACAAATGAGTGAATTGATTGTTTCTGCTGTAATTCTCCTAAGCAGTGAAATCTTTTTAACGATGCGCCAGCTTGAAGTTGCATGCATGCATCGACATTTGCCAATTTTGACTCTTGGATAAACACAGTACATAAATTTGCATTTAATAGTCTAAATACACAGTGGAAATCTGCAGCCGTCAAAAAGAAAATGGAAATGTAGTTTTCACATTTGTTGAAGTGTGAGAAATACTGTATGGTGCGGTCATTTCAAAAGTCTGGGGAATTGTTTCCAACAAGATTCTTCAGTTTTTGTGGGTACCCTCTGTGAGTTTCATCCTGAAATGAAATTGCTCAAATGTCAATGTCTCCATGCTTATTGATTATGAGACTGGAGTGTTACAAACTATAAAAATATATGAACCTATTTTGTCATTAGCCCCATCAAAATCAGGAAAAATATTCAAAATTAGTGGGAACAGTGGTCCTTCTCGTGACAAAACAGTATTTCAGTTCATGAAGGTTCTAAGTAAATGTAGGCCCTGTTAAAAAGATGCGGCTCTGACTGCAGCAGTGTAGCCATCAGTAGGAAGTGGCATCCGCCGCTAGGCAGTGGCTTCCATAGATTTACATGTTATATCAAGCTGTAGCTGGAACATGGCAGTCTATCAGTGAATAGAAAACTTTCATCTACATGTAGCAAAATTGAGTTGTTCACCAACATTTCACTTGATGTCAGTCATAACTTAATTTTCAGCTGATTCCTGCTAATCACATAAATTTGCTAAGCAATGTTTCTCAGGTTAGCAGCTGCCTAGTCTGACTTTGTTGGCCTACAAAAATGTCAGAATTGATAGTGATCATTCTGTGTCTATTTTCTTCCAAAACGAGACATTTTCTTCCAAAACGAGACATTTTGCATACACTGATGCAAATTTTTCCTGATTCAATTTATTCTATAAACTTGGTAAATTCATGTCTTGGTCAACTTGAACTTGGGTCCATTTCCTTCATATATATCTTTCTGCATGCTTAACTTGTAGTAATATTTTTGGGTGACTATCTAATTCACTTAGTTTCACAGCAAAAATAGTTTTACATTTCAGTGTACCGGTAGTTTGAAAATTAAAGACATTAATTCAGTGGTTTCTGTTTGCATGCTGTAGACCTTAACTAAATAGAAGTGTAATTTTGTGGTGGGAAAAAAAGAAAAAAAATGGTAAGGAACAAATGTTGCAGGTATCAGCCATACATATATCTTCTTAGCATGCCTAATAATTTTTATTCCTCGTTTATAGGGAAAGGTAAAATGTTCATTAATGTTTTGGAAGAGGTACTTGTATCTACAACCCCGAAAGATGTGCTCAAAAGAGCCCCTTTCTGCTAGTGGTTGAAATTTGCATGCAATATTTATCATATTATTCACCCTCAAAGTATTACTCTAATGCTATCAATTTATCGATATCTGTCAGAAGTATTGTGCCATTTTATACTAGCTTTCATCGGCAGTTCAATTTGACCAGGCATATGAACGAGTTTCCACAAGGACACTGTGCATATTTTTAACATCTACAGTGTGTCCCCTCCCCAATGGAGCTGGTAAATACAATCCATTTAAAACATGAAATTGCAACTGGCTGTATTTATAATTGAATGATTATGAAGGAGACACTCTGGGCTTGATGATTCTTTTACATGTATTTCATCTGCTTTGCTTTTTGCAGTCCAGAGATACACATTGATAAACACAAACAATCACGTTGGAGTTGGCGCAATTTTTAGTCTGGTCACTAGACTTAACTGAAAAATTAGCATGTACATTTTACGTTTACAGTCTGATTTCAAAGGAGATGCTTACAGCATAATGCACTGAAACATTCTGAGGAGTGAGCCTCTATTCCAGAAAAGTGTCACCAACTCAAGATTGAAGGATTGTGTTTACTGGGGCATATCTCTGGATCATAAAAAGAAAATAAGATGAAATAACAAGCTTCATCAAGACAAGTGTCTTCTTTAAACCACTTCAGTTATAAATACCACAAATTGATATTTTACATTTGAAATGGACAGCATGCACTTACGCGTTGTCTGAGGACACACTGTAAACTGACCCGTAACAATTATTATTAATTTGGGACTTTTTGTGCTTTTCTCTTTCTGTTTATGTGTTTTGGTAGGGTTCAAGAAGACGGGCCAGTCGGTCAAGCCTGCCGAGACCAAACCCACCCCTCCCCCACCAGCTGTCAAGATGAAGGAGGGTGGTGGGGCGCCCTCGTTCCTCGAATCACCTTGCATGGCGCAGGTCATCGAAGGTCAGTGGGAAAACAGGTTTTTACTCCCTCAGGATTTACCTAACTTTGTTGCTGTGCAAGACTTTTCACGAGCAAGTTTACTTCCAAGGATAATTGGTTAATTGTTGGCTTGTGACATATGGCCCGATTTTTTGGTATACAAATCACCCTACACATGGCCAACAGTGGCCACTAAAAGTGAAGGCTGTAGTAGAAGAACTTAATAGGTGGATAAAGGAAAAGGAAAGGCCTGTCATAGTCAATGTGAAAAATTATTGTTCATATTGCACTTGCATTGGAATATGTTGTAGGCATGTAGACAACAGTGTGAAGGGAAAGAATTCCATGGCAAAGCAGTGCGTGGAAAAGAAACTGGCAGAGTACATCTTGGAAGTGGCTTAGGGAATTATAACAGTAATACAGATGTGACTGGTGTTTGAGCAGTGGTGTAGCCAGGGGGGAGCCTGGGGGACACGTGCCCCCCCCAATTTGCGGTGCCCCCCCCGGTGTCCCCCCACTGACAAAAAATGGATGAATGGATATTGAACAATGCTAGAAAAACTTTCCTCCAAAAGCCACACTACTAAAAGCTGGTGCCCCTTTGTGCCCCCCCCGACTAGTAAAATCCTAGCTACGCCGCTGTTGGAGCGATATGACCATCAGTTAGTCACCTCATTAGTGTGACAAGCTTTCGGACAAAGTGTCACATGTAACTTTGTTTAGTCTTGGTGTTCTGCCCTATCTTGCAATACCAGTGGCTACTGATAAGGTAATGTCCATATATCAACTGGCTGTGGTAGAGAGTCACATACAAGTCAGTGGGAAGTAGCTGCAGTTTCCAGACATTGGCCAGTGGCTTCCATAAGTATCCATGTTACTCCAAGCCACAACTAGGTACATGTAGTTAGGACTGGCGTGTAAAACTATACTGCAACCAACTGTTCTTGGTAGTTTTCACTTAGTTGAGTTGACTCGACTGGTGCAACCATGGTTACTTAATATGCACTCACAGGTACCCAATGTGCACTGAACAGATGTTAGCCTTATTTATAGTTGGTGGTTACAGTTTGTCAAACAAGCAGCTACTAGCTAGAAGAGAAAAAGAATACCGAAACAAAACTGTGAACTAGTCTCAGTTAGTAGTATTTCTCCGCATACGACATATTGGTTGGTAACCTTTCTGCTAAGCTAATATATAGTAAGTCATCATTATCATTGAATATGGGCAGCTTTCAATGGCTACCCAAATGAAGGCTGACACACCACTCTCTATTGCTGCCTGTTGCTTGCCAATGACCAACTGTCAGTGATATGCCTATGGAGCCGAGAGCTGATCCGGCATGTCCACGTCAATCTGGGTCATCCAGCGCTCCTTCACCAAGTGTGGTCAGGCTGGTAGCTGTCAGCGGGCCAAACTGACAAGCTTAATGCCCCATGAGCTGGAGTGGCACAGTTGAGGCAATTTCTTCTGGAATACCAGGGGGACCAGTTCTAGCCATGATGGTGTTGTTTCTAACCTGATTCCACCTGATACTTAGGATATGCCTTCAGTCGATTCTCATCCTGTTTCAATTGCGTCCAGGCTGGCGATGATATGAGCGGTGTGAGAAACCACTTGTGCATGTGCTGTTTCCACCAGTTTTAGGAGTGGCCTGATGGCATGCTGTCATTTGCACATATAATGACTTTGACCTCATACCCACAGGTCAGTCAGTGAAGTTTGAGGCCGTGGTTGAGGGGACTCCAAAGCCTGAAGTCACGTGGTACAAAGGCAGCACGGTGATTAATGATGGCTTCAAGAATCGCTATGGCGTAAGTTCTTGGGAAGCAAAAAATATATAAACAGTGAAACTTGCAGAATGGTTCTTCCACAAAACAGAGTCTTTTCATGTCTTCTATGACGCACAAACACACAGTCAGCATAATCAAAGCTGTGTCAAAGTTTATGTCAGTATGCAAAGAAATACCAAGAAAAAAGTGGAAGCAGGGAGTCAGGCTTGTGCAATGGTTCTTTCCTCGCCTTCCACTGCTGCGGCCCAGGTTCGATTCCCTGCTTGGTCCACATGTGGGTTGGGTTTTCAGTCCCTACCTTATTCCGTGGGTTGTACCCAGAATAATCCTCTGGGGTTTTCCTCCTACCTCTAAAACTGTAAGTGCTTCTCATTGTTTCTCTACAGATTTTTTTTCAGGCTTGCGAGCTACATGTACCATGTCTAAGGCGCTTTTGAGGAATCCTTGTGTCATTACCAGAAATAATTAATAATGTCAGAAATACCAAGAAAAACTCAACTTTGTGAATTTGGATTCATGTCTAAAATTTGGAGATAATCCCTTACCTCTTTCCATTGCCCCTCCCTCATCTCATTTCTATTTCTTGTGGCTATTTATATCAATTCAATCCAGGGATTCTGCTGTTTGCTTCTTTCAGGTCAAGTATTTGGAGAAGCAAGATGTTCACATCCTGGAGGTGAAGAAATCGGAGCTGACTGACACAGGGAAGTTCAGCTGCATAGTGGAGAACCCCCATGGGAAGGACGAACGCGTCTTCTCTCTGATGGTCAACAGTAAGTATTGTATGCTTAACGATGCTCCTGGGTATAGAAAATTTCAAGATTTTACAAATCTGGAAACAAAAAACTTAAGAGACCAGTGGAGAGGGGCCATTTTGCAACAGGAGCTGTCTAGTAGTTATACTCGGATATTTCCTAAAAGTAGGAAAAAATTGATTAGAAACTTGGTTTGCCTGGTGCACATAATAATATTGCTTTGCTTGGTACCCTACGAGTTTTTTCTGAGCAATATATTTGCCTGCCGATACTTCTGTTTATTAAATAATTAGGTTTTTATAAAAAAATCAGGTTTTTCTTATTTTCTTTTATTTT